AGCACCCCCCCATTCACAGCACACTTCCCCCCACCTTTCAGACAAGTCGCCACCCCCACCCCCCAAACAGCCACCGGGTGTGGGGCTCAGCCAGGGCGTGGAGACACGTTTCCTCAGGGACAAAGAGATTTTTCTCTTGGCAGGATAGATTTCAGCCTGCCTGCCCATCTTCCACGGTGCGCAGGGGGACACACAAAGGGAAGCCCCCCGGGGAGAGAAATCCTTAAACTTCAAAAGGGCAAGGCCCAGCCGGGAAGGCGGGGGACAAGGGATGGGGTGGCCTGCCCTGCAGGCATGGGGCGCAAACCCAGACATGTGGGTCCCGGGGCTCTAAGCCCGCCCCCCATTGAGGCAGCGGTGGCCTGAGAGCTGGTGGGCACCGGCTGGGCCTCCCACAAGTGTCTCATCTGCCTAATTGTTTCTTTATTGTCGCACAATCGCACCCTCTCTCTGTGCTGCCCTGAAATATTTCCTTCCCCTATTCATCCAGCAGCAATTAGAAAGGGAGCACAGGGTGGGGGGATCTTAAAGTGCAGCATGGAGGGGGCAGCCGGTGGGGGGCCCGGTGGGGAGGGCCGGGAACACAGGCAGGGCTCGGCCTCAGCCCCACGCCCGCCCCCCATGAAATTTCCAATTAGGCTACAAGCACATCAGACCGCACGGGCGCTGAGCAGCTCCCACCAGAGCGGAGGAGAAGGGATTACCTTGGGGTTCTCCAGGATTCCGGCCTCGTAGCTGCAGAGGGAAAGGGAAGACAGAGGTTACCAGGGGAGGGACAGAGGGACATGGCTACACCTTGACACCCCTCACCCCCCACCTCCCTTTTCTCTGCCGGGGCAACCGCTGCCGGCCTCGCCTGGCACCTCCTGGGCCCAGCAGCTGGCTGTGGGGGCTGCAGGTGGCAAGACGGGCCTGGACATTTCTCTGTCCTCTGGGGCCCAGGCCCAGGGCTCCACATCGGGGGGCCTTCACACATGCTGTTCCCTCTGCTTTCAATGCTCTTCCCTGCACCCTGCTGCTCCCTCCTCATCCTTGAGGTTTTAACCTCAAAAGCCCATCCTCAGAGAAGGCCCGCCTGCGACCCAGGAGGCCAGATGCCGGCATCTCCCGGGCACCCAGCAGGGCTGCAGGGGGAGCTGGGAACAAGTGGGTAGACGTGGTCTGCCCTCCCCCCACTCCGTTAGGGCGGGGACCTCTCGTGTCCGGCCACCACGACACCCTGGCCGGCCCGGCAGGCGCTCCCCGCGCCGGGCAGACCCGTGGACGGGCTGGTGTCGTACCTGATGTGCATGAGGTTCTCGTCCATGCTCCACGGGCTCTTGGGGGTGACCGGGATGGGGATGCCATGTTGCTGCAGGTAGGAGACAGGCAGCATGAGGGAGCTTGAAGCGGAGGGGAGGGTCAGGCCCAGCCGCCTCGGTTCTCTTTCAAGGTCACAGCCAGCCCCAAACTCTGGCCCCCCTGCAAGCGAGACCCGGAGCCACGGCAGTCTCCTCCCTCCCCCAGGCAGCGAGGGCCTCCGTGCTGGGTGTGCCGTGCAGAAGCGGCGAGACCGAGCGTCCGGGATGCTGTAGAGTGGACGCTGAATTTGGAGGTTCCTTCTGGAAAACTCTGGACTTTCACTTCCAGGGCCCCTGAAGCACTTAGTGTGTGCCACACCCAGGACCCCGAAATCCTGATGCAGAACAGCCCAGGCGGCCCCCACCCTCCCCACTGGTTCTGACTGTGCTTCGCTTCCCCAATGGCCGATCCATGGCTCAAGGACCTGGGCCTGGACCTCACTCAGCCTTTTGGATGAAAGATGAGGTGGGTCCCCTGGTGACCCCGTGCTCCCAGCGGACACCAGGCTGGTGCTTTTCATGGGGCTCGTGCAGGCCCTCTGGCCTCGGTGATGACGTCCTGGAAGCAGGGCTTTCTAAAGCCCATGGATTTCTGTCTGAGCCGAACCCGGTCCTGCCTGGCTCTGGATTTTGGACAAAGCCTGGTTGCTGCTCAGTGATTCTGACCATTTTCTGGGCGCAGAACCACTGCCTCCCTCCTAGAGCAGCGGTTCTCAACCTGTGGGTCGCAACCCCTTTGGGGGTCGAACGACCCTTTCACAGGGGTCGCCTAAGACCATCGGAAAACACATATATAATTACATATTGTTTCTGTGATTAATCACTATGCTTTCATTATGTTCAATTTGTAACAATGAAATTGGGGGTCACCACAACATGAGGAACTGTATTAAAGGGTCGCGGCATTAGGAAGGTTGAGAACCGCTGTCCTAGAGGGTCTGACACCTGCCTCCAAGGGAGGGACCTGGGCTTGACTTTCGGGGGCAAACTTTCTATTGGGGACGGAAGCTGAGTGCAGCACCTTCTCCCCACAACCTGGGCAGGAGGGACAGCGACACCCCTGAACTTCACCTTTGCTGGGGAGCCCAGGAGCAGCTTGGCTGGGGGTTGAATGTTTTACACGAAGAGCAGCATTTGGGTCAGCCCGGCCCTGTCTCGAACCCTGCCGGCAGGCGTGAGAACACGGATGGGGCGGGGGTTCCAATTCATTATTCTCAAAGATGAAACACGCTCCAGATTCTGTCCGATCGGGGAGACGAAAAGGCCTCGCCAAGCCATTCCCTTAATAGCTCTGCTATTTGACAATTTGTTTGGCAACATATGGGCTTGCTCTTGTAAACTCCCCTCTTAATAATAAAACAACAGATGGCAGGAGTCTCTCCGCCGAGCACTCCAGGTCTTAATGGGATGCTGGCGGCGGGGCTGGGCCGCGTCCCCGCCGCGTGGCACCCCGGCTGCAGCGCGAGCTCCCAGCCGGCCCGGGCGGCTGCTATTTAAAAACCTGAGCAATTTTCTGGTGTGTGCACCGCGTTGCTCTCCCCCGTCTGATTGATTGAGGCTGTTTGTCAAGGACTGCCATCGAGTCGCTAAAAAGAAAGGTCCCCTGGGGAGAGGCTAAGGATCTTGATGTAAAACTTCTAATATGTTTTATTGCAACTTGTACTTCAAAAGGGCTGGCTCCACACAGCCTTTGTCGGCCGCGGCTCCTCAGAGCGCCTACCTGCTCGCGGGAGAGCCCTGGGGACAATTAGCCGCCAGGTAATGAGGGGCAGAAAATGGCCCGGCTCCCACCCCCGGCTCTCCCCTGAGTGACACACACAGCAGAGATGGCAGAATGGGAGGCAGAGGGAGAGGCCCAGCCCGGCAGGGACCACCTCTGTGGGGCTGGCTGGCCCAGGTGCCCGGAAAAGGGGGGGCAGCTGGACAGACGTGCCATCCCCAGGCATGGGGGTCAGTCTCAGCCTCAAGCTGGGGGTCCACGCAGCCCCCGGGAGGGCCAGGGGAGCGGCGGGCTCCTACCTTCGCGTACTCCATCAGGTCGCTGCGGCCCTGGAAGCGGTTGTAGAACTCGGGCATCCTCCAGGGGGCGATGACCTGGACATGGGGGAAGGGGTCAGACCTGGGGGGCCCTGCTGCTGGCTCCCCTGGCCCCCGAGCACAGGGCCGGCCTCTCTGCTAAGGGGCAGGAGACTCCGATGGCCCCCTGGGGTCTCCTGCTGCTCCCCAGAGAGGATGCAGCCCCTGGGCACCCCATTAGGCAGGGAAGGATGAGGCCCCCCACGTTGGGGGTGGGTTTCAAGAGGCCCAAGCTCCATGCAGGATGGTCATGTGTCCCCAGGCGGGCCCTGCCCCTGGGCCTCCGTCTCCCGCACTGAGCCCTGAGGGCTTCTCACCAGCACCCCTGGTCGGAGGGCCAGCCCCCACCCCCCACCCCCTTGGGGTCCAGGTAGGGACCAGAGATGACCCAAACCCATTCTCTTGCTTCCCTTCTTCCGAACCCAAGCTGCTCTAGGCGAGGGAGGGAGGGGAGTCAGAGCCTGACTGGAGACTGAGCTCATTCCACCCGCCTGGGGGTGAGGGGGACTGAGCTCATTCCACCCGCCTGGGGGTGAGGGGGAGGAGTAGGGATAGGCCCTCAAAGCGAAGAGCCCCCACTCACCCTGGCGGCCAAGCAGGACCCTGCCCCTGCCTCTCACACAACGGCCCAACTAGACGCAGGAGCCGGTGTGATTTCCAGGCTGTGGAGCTGGGGGTGGGGGGTGAGGGTGGGGAGGGTGAAGGACCCCCAACCCTAGGACGGGCATCCCTGGCCTCACCCCAGCCCCTGGGCTTGGCCTCTGCAGACAAAGGCTCGGAAACCAGACACCACGCGCACCGGCCCGCACTGTCCGAGGGCTTCTCGAAGCCCCGGTGTCTTCGGTCAAAATGGATCATTAGAGCGATTACCGCTCACCTCCAGGCCATGGGCACCCCGAGCAGCTGCGGGTGGTTAAAGGGACAGAGGAAGACGCCCAGGAAGAAAAAGTGGAAACCCCTCAGGGCCCCTTGGGGCTTGGGAGGGGCGGGTCTCCCGGAGCTTCAGCCTGAGGTGGCCTCGCAGGAGCGCAGACCTGCCCCTGTGCCGGGACCACGCAGCCAGGAGCCGCTGCGGTGCCGCCCAGCCTGGCCGCCCCCATCGCCAGCTGAGCTGGACGCGTGAAGCTCACACTGGACCTTGAAGACTCAGCAGGAAAAAGGCCGCGAAACACCTCAGTAACTTTTCTACGTCGATGACGCGTTGAACACATAGGGCTCAATAAAGCATCTTATTGGGAAGATGTCACCTGTTGCTTTTATCTTTTTTTAACGTGGCCAAGGGCCTCGCATTTGTGGCGGGCATTGTATTTCTACTGCTCAGCCTTGTGCCTGGAGGGGGCCTGAGTGAATACTGAATGAATGAATGAGGAGATGAATGGATGAATGAATGAATGCACACAGGCCGGCTTGAAGGGGCGGGCGGGGGCGGCAGGCTGGGTAGTGCCGCTGACACGTGCTCTCAGGACTGGGCGGCATCCATGGGCAGGGGCGTCCCCAAGGTCCTTCCCATCCCAGGAAAGAATCCAAGACACCGGAGGCCAGGGCTCGGGAAGCTGAGAGGGGCCAGGCCTTCGCTAAGGGGCCCTGACCGGG